TACACATCCTGGGGTATTTAATTTTATCCCGTATTTAAAGTTAAGAAATAATCAATACAAATCCTTCACGAATTTAAAATCACGAACAAAAATAAATTAATATCTACCATCCAAAAAAAATCTTATCTAAACTATGAGTATTTACTAAGACCAATATACTTGTGTTTTTTATGATAGAGATTTATTCTATATTAATTATCAAGATGAGAGAGAGGGGCGACCATTGATCTTCCTGGAAAACAAATGAGCGGGTGGCGTCAGACAACAAGGCTAGCGTGTCGCCCGGCCCGCCAACACCCCTCCCCCCCCCACACACAGCGTCTACACTAATTTTTACTGCTTGTACCGCTTGGGGTTGGTGGGGAACCATGCCTTCCTCCCAGCCTAATGAGAGCCAGTAATTCACCCCACGCCAGTTCCGTGATTGATGCGCTTAACGCCCGTCTCCCCTGCGCTAGTTCCAATACTCCGGCCAATTCTCCAGTAGATCGTACGGTGATTAATTTCTCGTGAGGACATTAGGCGTAGTTCTAATTGGTTGTTTTAGCGGGTTTATTTCAGGGGTTTATATTGGATAGGAACATTTTAGACAGGTAAAGATGTAGTCTACGATTTTTTACCTAATTTTTAAAGGGTTAAATCGCAATTATCCTTAAAGGGTTAAATAATAATCCTCAAAGGGTTAAATTATCGTCATCAAAGGGTTAAACAATCGCCATCAAGGGGTTAAACCATCATTCTCAAGAGGGATTAAACCATAGTACTCAAAGAAATAAAAACCATCTCACTGAAGTCGGCTTAATCCAGTCCAAATTAACCTGCCTAATGTCATATACAAATAGAATTGGCAACCACGGCCTACACCTGAACCATTTAGTATTGAACACTTTCTTCAGGGGTTTGTATAGCCATTTGGGGTTCATATCAGGGGTTCAGAGTTGTTACGGGTTCATATCAGGGTTCAAGAGTTTATTTACGGGGTTATATCAGGGTTCAAGAGTTGTTACGGGTTCATATCAGGAGTTCAGAGTTATTTACACGGGTTCATATCAGGGAGGTTCATATTCAGGGGTTCCAGAGTTGTTACAGGTTCATATCAGGGTTCATATTCGGTTCAAGTTATTTATGGGTTCATATCAGGGTTCAGAGTTGTTACGGGTTCATATCGGGGTTCATATTCGGGGTTCAGAGTTGTTACAGGTTCATATCAGGGGTTCAGAGTTGTTACGGGTTCATATCAGGGGTTCATATTCGGGGGTTCAGAGTTGTTACGGGTTCATATCAGGGGTTCAGAGTTGTTACGGGTTCATATCAGGGGTTCAGAGTTGTTACGGGTTCATATCAGGGGTTCATATTCGGGGTTCAGAGTTGTTACGGGTTCATATCAGGGGTTCATATTCGGGGTTCAGAGCTGTTACGGGTTCATATCAGGGGTTCATATTCGGGGTTCAGAGTTGTTATGGGTTCATATTAGGGGTTCAGAGTTGTTTAGGGTTCGTATCTACCATCTAATTTTATAAATTTATTACTACTACGTTACTAAATAATAATAATACAAATTTACCCCCAAATTAAAAACTTCCCATTAAAAAAAACTAATTTACAAAAACTTACAATTTAATTTACATAACTCTAATTCACGTTAGTCCACCATGGTAGGTTTTCATTTTCTATATATTTTTGTAAACACGAGTGAGTGTACAGTACTTTATTTACACTTAATTTCTTACAAAAATAATAAATTCTTGTAAACAGTTTAATTAATGTTATTTTTTTTATTTAGTTTGATTTAATATTGTAAACCTTTTCATAGTAATAAAATGAAGAAGAAAATGAATAATAATAATAATAATAGTAATAATAACAATATGATGATACTGTAATAACAACATTAGTAACAATAACAACAACTATTAATAACAATAACAAAACCCAGATAACATGCTGAAGACACTACCAATAAAAAGTAACAAGAGCAATGGTAATAAACTGTGGTAATAAAAGACAACGTGATAATTACACACGAACACATAACACGGAAGAGAGACAGACAAGAGAGAATAACAAGTGGGAATAATAACGCGAAGAGAGAGAGAGAGAGAGAGAGAGAGAGAGAATCACTGGCAAACCACTATTGAACCAGGAGCCAGGAAATAATTGCTTGAAGGCATTTGGTTTATAATTAAAACAGCAGACACCACCACCACACCCAAGTAACTTGTGGCTTAGTTTTAATATTAAACCAGAGGCGTCTGACCACACACATACATACATACATACTACCACACCTACGTATACACACACATGTATACAAAAACACTCATACATATACATGAAAGTAAAATTGAGTCTAATTTGCATCGCTACCCGTTTAAGGGCAGTGTGGATATAGCACACTGTATACTAAGCCTTCGGTACACAAGGAGGCAACCTGGCCGGTACTGCCTCGACCACTAACCCCAAAATGTAACCTCATGTACCCATTTACAGCTGGGTGAACTGGGGGCGCCTGGGTGGAATTTCTAGTGAACTACTAATATTACTTTCACTACCACCTGCTACGACTACTAGCACCGCCTATTACTACTACCACCACCTACTACTACAACTACTTTTTTCACAACCACAAACTACTAACATTTCCACCACCTACCACTACCACCACACCTAAACTGTGTACAATAACAACACTGACACACAATACGTATTACTGTACTCACCTGAGATATAATTAAGAGTGTACCTGTATGTTGCGTGTACACTGTCACTGTACACACACACACACATTAATTATTCATTGTTTTTTTATCACCGAGGGAGGATGAGGCAGTGTTAATAGTGATGATAGTGACCAAGACAAAGAACAATAAATTCAATAACAATAACAACAACAATAATAATAATAATAATAATAATAACAATAACAACAATAATAATAATAATAATAATAACAATAACAACAATAATAATAATAATAATAATAATAATAACAATAATAATAATAATAATAATAATAATAACAACAATAATAACAAAAACGACCACAACAATAACAAAAAATAACAACAATCCAACAAAACACAAAAGGCAAAATAGCTGGTTAAGGGAGGTCACTGTTATAAAGGGGGACTAAGGGTTTAAGGGAGGTCACTGTTATAAAGGGGGTTTAAGGGAGGTCACTGTTATAAAGGGGGTTTAAGGGAGGTCACTGTTATAAAGGGAGACTAAGGGTTTAAGGAAGTCACTGTTATAAAAGGGGACTAAGGGTTTAGGGAGGTCACTGTTAAAAAAGGGGACTAAGAAGGGTTTTAGGAGGAGTCACTGTTATAAAAGGGAGACTAAGAGGGTTTAGGAGGTCACTGTTGTGTATAAAAGGGGACTAAGGGTTTTTAGGGAGGTCACTGTTATAAAGGGGGACTAAGGGTTTAAGGGAGGTCACTGTTATAAAGGGAGACTAAGGGTTTAAGGGAGGTCACTGTTATAAAGGGGGTTTAAGGGAGGTCACTGTTATAAAGGGAGACTAAGGGTTTAAGGGAGATCATAAAGGGAGGGAGATTGTGGTGGTCAGGGCAATGTGGTAGGGGACGGAGATGTAAACAGAGCGCTGCAACGTTGCCACATCCTCACTCTTTCTCTTTTCCCTCTCTAAGAATCTATCCATCAATCCTACTCTCTATCCGCCACAACACGGGAGAGGGGAGTGGGGAGAGGAGTGGGGAGAGGAGGAGGGTGGGGAGAGGAGTAGAGAGTGGAGAGAGAGAGGAGGGTGGGGAGAGGAGAGAGGGGTGAGGAGAGAAGAGTAGGGAGAGGAAAAGTGGGGAGTGAGGAGAGAGGAGTGGAGAGGTGAATGGGGAGAGAGGAGAGAGGAATGGAGTGGGGAAGAGAGAGAAAGGGCGAGGGAGAGAGGGTGAGGAGTGGAGAGGTGAATGGGGACAGGAGAGAGAATGGAGTGGGGGGAAGAGAGGGGCGAGGAGAGAGGGGTGAGGAGTGGAGAGGTGAATGGGGACAGGAGAGAGAATGGAGTGGGGGGAAGAGAGGTGAGAGGGGTGTAGCGAAGGCTCTGGTCACATTTCTTATACACCTTTCTGCCTTCCTCCTTCTACTGAGTGACGTCATCTCGCGGGAATTCATTGGTTAATTTCTTCCCGGGAATATTTAACATTAACCACTTTCTTCCCGAGGATATTTAACATTAACCACTTTCTTCCCGCGGATATTTAACATTAACCACTTTCTTCCCGCGAATATTTAACATTAACCACTTTCTTCCCGCGGATATTTAACATTAACCACTTTCTTCCCACAATAAGCTAAAATTATTTCCATATAAAGTTAAACCAAATATTCTCCCATAAAAAAATCTCAATAATAAAAGACAGAGGCAGACAGACAAGTAGTCACAGAGACAGACAGACAGACAAGTAGTCACAGAGACAGACAGACGTGGATAATTGTAATTAGAAAACAGACAGGGAAGACACGCACATGAACATCGTACATAGAATATAAACACGAAAGACACATGGTAAAAAAAACGTTCATAAGACAAAAAACGTACATGAAAACCCCCCGGAAAACACACATAACAGACACACACACATACAACCCTGTCAAAAAACAGGAAACAGAGACAGACAATAAACAGGAACTAGAGACAGAAACAGTATTACCATAATAAAGAATATAATATTTATTTAATAACTTATTTTATCAGTGTTGCCAAGACCCACTGCATGATAACCTGAGAGAGAGAGAGAGAGAGAGAGAGAGAGAGAGAGAGAGAGAGAGAGTCAACAGGCACACCTTGACTCATGTTCGGCCCAGATGAGTCAATTATTTACCCCCCCTCCCCCGCGGCCATGAGTCACCCCCCCCTCCCTGGCCTCCTGCCCCATAATGGAGGTACGAGGGCCACAGCAAGACCACACTATGGCCACAATGAAAACACACCAAGACCACACATTATAGTCACACAAAGACCACTTTATGGCCACACCTACCTGAAGCGTGTTAATCAGTATAGTGAAGGCGGGCCACACCTGTACTCACCTGTAACGAGGAGAAAAATACACATTAGTTTTATATACTGAAGTACCGTGTATACCAAAGTACCGTGTATACCAAAGTACCGTGTATACCAAAGTACCGTGTATACCAAAGTACCGCGTATACCAAAGTACAGTGTATACCAAAGTACAGTGTATACCAAAGTACAGTGTATACCAAAGTACAGTGTATACCAAAGTACCGTGTATACCAAAGTACCGTGTATACCAAAGTACCGTGTATACCAAAGTACCGTGTATACCAAAGTACCGTGTATACCAAAGTACCGTGTATACCAAAGTACCGTGTATACCGAGAATGGGGGTTAAAAGTAAACACACATAAATACAAAAAAACAATAACAATAATAATAGTAGTAACAGTAGTAGTAAATTAGTAGTAGTAGTAGTAACACAAGCTCGTACACCATTCCCGATCCTGTATAACCTCTACGAGAGACGACAGAGACAAACAATGGCAGACTGGGATAATAAACAGAATGAACTCCCCAGAGAAATGAAAATTGACAATTACCGGCAAAGACGTGAAGAGATGTCGGCAGATACCGGACACGCAAACAATTTTAATAATGGTGTGTGTGTGTGTGTGTGTATGTGTGTGTGTAGGTGTGTGTGTGTGTATGTGTGTGTGTAGGTGTGTAGGTGTGTGTGTGTAGGTGTGGTTAAATAGGGTGTGGCTCTTACAGGCTAACGTCACGTCCCACACACACGCTTATGTACGCACACACCCACACATATACTATACACACATACATACATACAACCACAATAAACTTGCATATATACAGAACAACATACATACATACATACACACACATATACGTACACACATACAGACATACATTTCCACGTTCCAGGATCTAGTTAATATATTCCTACCAGACCATCAACAACTTTATTATACACGTAAACTAACCCCCTTTAACCAACCACGCCCCCACGCCCCCCTCCACACACTCCCACGCCATGACTCAATACGCCCCCAGCCACGCCTTCACACGCCCTCCAGCACCCTCATTCCCCAGCTTACGTCACACATCATCTTTCTCTCCTCTTTCCCCACGTAAAAGTTCCTCATCCCCTTCCCCACCTCACTAAACTCCCCCCTCCCCTCCCTTCCCCACCCATTAAACTCCCTCCCTCCCACCCCATTAAACCCTCCCTCCTCCCCACCCCATCAAACTCCTCCCCTCCCCTCCACTTCCTTCTCTAACTGATCTACAGTACACAGAGAAAGTGACCAGTGTATATGACTGAGACATTCTAGACACTGTCACTTGTTCTCATGCGACCAATGACTCGTACAGAGAAAGTGACCTCGTATACATGATGAAGACTTTCCAAACAGGTCAATAACTACATCTCACATCACTTATTCACACAAAGAAAGTGACCTCGTGAAGATAACTAAGACACTTTCCTCTCGTCACTGACCAACAAAGAGAAAGTAACCTCGAATACATAAACCCAAGACACTTTCGCATTCAGATCAGTGCATTTCACGCCACTGACCTCGTAAGCAAGGCCAAGAGCCACCAAGACACTTTCCAAACAGGTCAGTACCTCTCTCGTCACTGACCTATATAATATACTGGTAACTATTGTGTTAAGTTCCAATGGCCATTAATACTTTCCTTGTTTCTCTTATCCATTTTTATGCCATTATTCATTTTTATTTGTCATTTCACTGTTATTACATACAGACAGAGAGACAGACAGACAGACAGACACACAGGCAGACAGACAGAAACAAAATGAAACAGATAGACAGGCAGAAAAAGACAGAAACACACATACAGACAGACAAGTAGAGAGAGACAGAAACGAAAAACAGACAGATATAAACTAACAGGCAGAAAAGACAGACATACAGAAACAATGAGACAGAGAGAAAGACAAATAGAAATAAAAATATAGACAATGCAACAGACAGAAAGACAGACAGACACACTCAGACAGACAGACAAATAGACACTCCTTCAGTTAATCACGACCATAAGCGGTGAACATTTACATCCCTAAGTAACTATGACAACGGCGCCACCCCACCTGACCTGACCTTACCTGACCTCACCTGGCTTCACCTCATCTGACTTCAACCTAACCTCACCATAACCTAACTTAAATTTAACCTGACCTGACCTGACTTAATCTAAACTAACCTCAACTTAACTCAACCTAAAATAAACCAAACTAACCTAATCCAGCCTAACTTCAACCTGACCTAACCTGACTTCAACCTGACCTATCCTAACTTCAACCTGACCTACCCTAACTTCAACCTGACCTACCCTGACTTCAACCTGACCTACCCTAACTTCAACCTGACCTACCCTAGCTTCAACCTGACCTACCCTAACCTAACCTGACTTCAACCTGACCTAACCCAACGTTAACCTGACCTCACCATAACCTACACAATACCACCATAACCATGATAGTAATAATTATTTTCCCTAATTAATAAACAAAACCACGACAATTACCAGGGAAATATTGACTTATTCATGACACGATTTTCCAAGACGTAAGAAAGTCGAGTTTGTAATTATTTTCCTGGATAATTTGCATAGTAATTATTTCCTGGATAATTTGCATAGTATTATTTTCCTGGATAATTTGCATAGTAATTATTTCCTGGATAATTTGCATAGTAATTATTTCCTGGATAATTTGCATAGTAATTATATCCTGGATAATTTGCATAGTATTATTTTCCTGGATAATTTGCATAGTAATTATTTCCTGGATAATTTGCATAGTAATTATTTCCTGGATAATTTGCATAGTAATTATTTTCCTGGATAATTTGCATAGTAATTATTTCCTGGATAATTTGCATAGTAATTATTTCCTGGATAATTTGCATAGAGTAAGTCAGTCGATAAACAATAAAAGTGTATACAAGCTTGAATACTATTAGTTAGGTCATTCAGGAAGGCCTATTAACTTAGCATTAGGCCTATTATCCACAGCCTAGGCTTATTAACTTTACTTTAGGCCTATTAACTTGAACCGGGGAATTTTAACTTCAACCTTAGCCTATTAACCTCACTCTAGGCCTATTAAACGGTTTACTCCAGGGGATAATTTGCATACCTAACCCTTTTACGTATATAAGGCTATATTAACACGACCACACCCATCCTCTCTCTCTCTCTCGTAAATCCTTTATTCTCTCTCTCTCTCTCCCATCCTCATTCTCTCTCTTCCAACCTCATTCTCTCTCTCTCGTCTCTCTTCTCTAAGTCTACCTCTCTTTTTCTTTAACTTCTATCCTTATTCTCTCTCTCTCACACACGTCATCTAAGTGCGCACCCCCTTTTCTCCCCAGGACAATCAACGCACCCCTAACTGTACATTAACCTTCGCTACCCACCTCCAGATTATTGATTACTTATTCTAGGATATACAACGACCCGACGCCCACAATGCCTTCAAGAATGCTTAAGAAAATCTAATAAATTTCACCAAGTATTAATTTTTTTTTAGATATGTTTTGGGGGTTTGTTATGTTATTGTTGTCGTAGTTTTTGTTATTGTAGTTGTTGTAGTTATTGATGTTGTTGTTGTAGTTATTGATGTAGTTGTTGTAGTTATTGATGTTGTTGTTGTAGTTATTGATGTTATTATTATTACTATCATCATCAGCATTTATTCCTATGCAAATTACTATTAATTATCATCACTATTAACTAACAATAGCAGTTCCCCATCTGGCAGTAACCCAAATACTCCCAGGGACTGGCTACACCTGCAACCACATTCACAAGGTTAAATTACCGTTAAGTAAGGTTAAATCCGGTTAAGTAAGACTAAATCCGGTTAAGACTAAATCCGGTTCACGGTGATTAACTCGTGGTGTACTTGTTAGTATTTAAGTGTCGTGTCGTGGCGGGTGGGGATAGTCCCACTGTCTTAATGGTCTCCAGTTCTAGTAGGCCCCGGATTTAAGGATTTCAACTTGGGGTCTAATTTAGAGGTTGGGGCCTATTAAGATTGGGGCCCCTCAAAACTGGAATCCTTTAAAACTGGGGCCTATGAAGACTGGGGCCCATCACAGAGGCCCTTTAAAACTGGGGCCCATCAAGACAGAGGTCCTTTAAAACTGGGGACCATCAAGACAGAGGCCCTTTAAAACTGGGGCCCATCAAGAGAGAGGCCCTTTAAAACTGGGGACCATCAAGACAGAGGTCCTTTAAAACTGGGGCCCATCAAGACAGAGGCCCTTTAAAACTGGGGCCCATCAAGACAGAGGCCCTTTAAAACTGGGGCCCATCAAGACAGAGGCCCTTTAAAACTGGGGCCCATCAAGGACAGAGGCCCTTAAAACTGGGGCCCATCCCTTTAAAACTGGGGCCCATGAAGACAGAGGCCCTTTAAAACTGGGGCCCATCAAGACAGAGACCCTTTAAAACTGGGGCCCATCCAGAGGACAGAGGCCCATTTTAAAACTGGGGCCCATCAAGACAGAGGCCCTTTAAAACTGGGGCCCTTTTGGTTAGTTACGTGGTTGCATCCCATTTTCTGAGTAAAAGCATCCAGTAGTAACCTTGATGTGGGGGTGAGGGGGGAGGGAGGGTGAGGGGGAGGAGGAGGGGAGGGAGGGAGGGTGAGAGTGAGGAGAGGTGAGTCATATCCAATATACTGTACTGAATAACACCTCCTCCCCCCCCTCCTCTCCCTCCCTCCACCTGCATGTTCACCTTCTCTAACCTTTTCTTCTTGCCTTCTTCCTCTCCTCTTCTCTCCCTTCTTCCTTCTGTCTTCCCTACCTTCATTCTGACTATCCCTTCCAAACTCCTTCCTTACCTCCCTCAACTCCTTCTCTCCCTCCCTCTCCCTAACCCTTCCCAGCGCCACTTCCCCCTTCACAATACTCAGGAAGGCACCCCCCCACCCTAGGCTTTGTCACCCACGAGGCATTCCCTGCAGTGGCTGGTTATGTTGGCACT